GGCTGAAGTCACGCTTCTCACCCATCCTGACCCATCAACTATGCTCATTATAGTGGTCAGTGCATCAGATATTGCTTCAAGAGCCGTTATACAACAGGACATTTCTGGAAGTTGGCAACGTCTCGAATTTTTCTCACAACGCCTTTCTCCCACTGAGACGAGACATAGCGCTTTTGGTCGCGAACCGCCAACAAACTACTTTGCCATCAAACATTTCCGGCACGTCGTAACTTTCCCCTAACATCGACCATAAGCCTTTAACGTATGCACTGCATACTAAGTCTGACCGCTAATCACCGCGTGAGTAAAGACAGTTAGACTATATTTCTCAGTTCATAACAGACCTTCGTCACATTAGAGGCGAATCGATCAATGTTGTCGATGCACTGTCACGTATGCAGTTACTTTACCGGTGCTTGATCTTCTTGATATGGCAGCTGCCCAAGCAAATGATCCCTCCTGTACAGAAGCACAACAGTCTACAGCCCTTCAATGCCAGGAAGTACCCCTAGCGACTAGCTACTCTGTGATACCACCACACTGGTCTACCCCCACCCATCGTACAATGTGTTTATCATCGTCTCATCTTGGATACCCTTAATGGATCGTATCATTCAGGTATTGCAGCTACATTACGCCTCATCGCTGCACGATACCTTTGGCCATACGCGAATAAAGATGTCCATATGTGAGTAAAGCAGTGCTTACATTGTCAACGACCAAAAGTGCACATGCACGTAGCCACCCCTATCGGTACATTTGCTATGCCTGATGCTCGCTTCGATCGTATTCCTATTGACATTGTAGGACCGTTGCCACCATCGCATGGGTATGATTACATACTCACGTGCATCGATCGTTTCGCAAGATGGCCTGAAGCTATTCCCATCACTTCTATTACAGCAGACACAGTTATTCACCGCTTCGTAGAACGATGGATAACGCTGTACGGTTGTCCCTTGACTGTCACGACTGACATAGGACAGCAGTTCGAGTTCGAATTATTCTCCTCACAAACCCGGTTGCTTCGTACGGAGCGCATACGCTCTACCGCCTACCACCCAGCTTCAAATGGTTTAGTCGAACGGTTTTATCTCCAACTTAAATCAGCTCATCCAGCACATGAAAATAAAAATTGGTATTAAACTTTGCGGCTCATCCTCCTAGGTATCAGGACGAGATTAAGGGCAGATATCAAATCTTACACCTCTGAACTTGTATGCGGCACGACATTGCATCTGTCTGAGGAATTTTTCATACCACGGAGAAGTAATAGCTCTAATGAATAAGACTACGTCTGACAATTGTTCGAATTCATGCAAACACTGCCTCCGGTGTCAACTCGAATATAACACTGACAGGTCGCTCTCCCTTGAGAGTTATCTACCTGTCCATATGTTTTCATACGAGTAGATTCGGTACGCAAAATCTCTCGTCATGAAAAGACTTTCAAGGCTGATCGACATGGCGGCGCCGAAATCGTCAGCATCGATCGTCTCAAGCCAGCACACGTCAATGAAAGTGCCCTACCCGATAATTTGAACCCAATGCCAGACCCATCAAACCTACTAGCGAGATCCCTACGCCTACTTTACACCGCACGCCAGATACATCATAGACCTCATTACCACGCCTCAGTCAACAGCACGCGTCATCTGCATCATCTGTGGATGAGACTGTTTTCTCACATAAAGCTCCGGAGACCACATCGCCCTTGAATTCGGGTGAGATTGTAGGCTCACGAAGTACACACGAGGCTACCGTCTCACGTTCCGGTCACCGAGTACGCCGACCTGTACGCTTTCGCGACTATTTTTAGTCAGCAACGCGCTGGGATTAGGGTTCTACCCCTTACTACATGCCTACTACACCTTTTTCTTTGAGTTTTTTATCCTAAGCCTATGCCCCACAATTGCACGTCGGCGGACCACCCCCCTTCCGCGCGAGGCTGCTACGTGTCGGAGGTGTAAACTATTTCTAGGGTGGCTGATGTAGTTGATTACCCGTACGAAAAATACGCAATTTGTGAAAAGAAAACATTTTTTATGGTACTCCTTTTGTTTAACTGTACCAAGACGCTAACTTACGCGCAAATTTCTGTTTTGCGTTGCTGCCATAATCAGTTATATGCTGCTCCCTATGTCGTCCACTTTCTCCCTCAAATATATTCATTACCATGGATTTACTTTTTATCACTGTGATGGGCTAGTGATTAGTAATTAGTATTTATTGTTGATCATAATCATTCGCGACTCGGTCTACACACCGACAATTATGGACACACATTCGATTGGAACAATGTGGAAATACTGGGTAGGGGGAGGACAAAGAACAATAGAGAATTTTTAGAAGCTTAGCACTCAGGTCAATCAACAGTCAACGAACACATCGACATTAACCCAGTTTATCAACCAATCGGCAAAATCATAGGTGACATAGGATCAAGAAACAGATCGAAAGGGGGATACAATCAAAGCAAAGGTGCGAACAACGATAGGTTTAAGGTCAACAGCAACCAATCAAGATCGAGGTCAGCAGGACAAGCTACAGGTCAAACGTGGAGAAATTCGAATGCTTCACTTCTATCTGAAGTTTGTGCTGATGATGTTGTTCAGAAGAACAATGAAAGCTCCACAACCAAAACATCCAGCTCAGAGAACAACACACCACCACAATCGTCCACCTGAGCTATAAATCTTCTCCACCATCTCTTGATCAGTATATTATTTACCATGGGTAAATCTGCTTCTACCACCATGGGTCTTCAAATGGTATCTTCATAGTTACCGTGAAATACACGACCCTATGTATGATTATCTGACTACACATGAGTTATTTGAAACTAGGATGAAAATAAATCCCGTCGATCTATAAGATTTGATGAAAATGTATGCGTAAATTTTTACAAATTATGGTCTCCATCACTAAGTTTTTGTTTATATAATTTCCTTGTTAGTAAATCTTATCATCATCATTCTCATCACGTAGAACAGCAAATATATAATGCCGCTTTTATAGCCTTCATGCTTCAATCACTCATAGACAATGTAGAACTTAGCATAAATGTTTTATATCAATCCACATAACTACACATCACGCTGATACGGTGGAGAAGGGAAAATTAACAAGGTGAAAAGCGAGAAACTAGGGACAGTAAAATTGATTTTAAAAGGTAGTTAAACATAAGTTGTTTCAAAAGAAAAAGTTTCTCCCGATTTAAAAATGGATAAACCATCTATGCAATTACACCAAAAAACTGATACTTCACTGTCATTGGGTTAAATGCTTGAATTCATCGTATCTATCTCAGTTTTTTAAAAAGTTATTTTATTGTCACCTGCTTCTCACTGGTGGCTGAAACCTATCAATTAAGTTATATTCACATACCAACTACAGGTTTATGTACTCGGCTTTGTGCTGTATCATTCCTGAAAAGAATTAGTTATACTATTCGGCTCCCAAAAACAAATTATAAGAACCGTGCTCCTAACTTGTGAGCTGTTCAGTTAAAATCTCCTTTCCGACTACTGAACCACGTTTTTTTGATGATAACCTATAATTAAATTCCCCATTAACTCAAACATTTCACTAAAATATTCACCTCATAATTTTGGATCGGTAAATGAAATATTTTTCCTTATACCTGTAAATAATTCTCAGAGCTTAAAATAGAAGGATTGTGGCTAGCAGTCGAATCGAGGATGGGCGTTTATATCTGTTTGGGACTGATGAAGTGGAGTGATGTCAGGATATACAGTCCAGTAGTAGTCAGGATACCGAATAAAGTCGATAAGTCGTCAAATCTAGTTTAGATTATTCAGTTGTTTAGATTCCTGTGATTTAGTTTACTGAAGTGATGCTGACTAATGTTATTATTTTACAAACATCAGATCAATTTGTGAAATAGTTGGCTTCATTGCGAATACCGCCACAACGCTTGATGGCTATTATTTCTATAGAATAACGGATCAATTTTCTAAGCACTTCAGCGACATTACTAATAACGGAGTTTAAAACATACAAATAACCTCACTCTTTATTCTCTTAAGAATCATCTGCATCATTCTAGTTTGATTATCATTAAAAAATCTTTTCGACAATTACACTAATCTAGCATTAGTAATTTTACTTCACGAAGAAAACGCGGTTGGTGAAAGATAAACATTTATTATTGTACTCGTTTCGCTTAACTGTACCAAAAACACTTTCTTGCGAGCAACGTTCTTTTCGCGTTGCTGTCATTTTTCATAACTTGCTGCTCTCTATGTAACGTCTACTTTCTCCTTCAAATGAACATTCTACCATGGATTTATTTCTATAATTCTTGACGGGATAGTATGGAATATTTAGTGGTGATCAAAGTCAATCTCGAATCGGCCATCACTAAAAGTTGTGCCAAAAATTTCTGTCTTCTTTCATATCATCCGTATTCGTGAGCTTAATAGTTAGACCATTTTAACGTTCAACTGAAAATTCTACAGATTTAAATCCCATATTGGTTCACAGGGGTTAGTATCATTAGTTCTTACATAAAGCAGTCTGTGTATGACTTAGACCCATATGCAAAAAAATGTACACGGTAAATAAATTAAATTCAGTATCTATTTAAATTCCCTACTATCACTGTTGTCTTAGTGAGTTTTAAATTATAACTGAAATACTTCGTTGAGCAAATAAAATACATAATTGGAAGATTCACACACTTATTATTCAAATATACAATTACAGTTTAGAAACAACTAAATTACAAGTACTTCATTCATACACACTAACATGAAATGAACATTTGTAAATAAGTAGGATAATAGATATTACTTTATTTTGATAAAAAGTAATCGTACATGATTGTTTCTTTTTTTTTTTTTTGGTAGTTCCACCTGAGTTATTGATGACCGTAAAAAACTATTTCATATTGTACAAAATCCATTGAGATTCATTTTATGCCTAACTGATATTTCTAATAATTTTGATATTTCAAAAACAAACTACACCATAAATATTCATATTTTACATTCTATAGAGAGTTTTGGTTTAATATTCATGTTCATTTCTTTAATTTCACTGATCTGTTGATTAATTTGATGATTTTGATTTGATAAATCATCAACTAGTGCTTCGTGTTTCGCTTGCAATATCAATTCCCAATAATTACGTTGTCGTAAAATTCTTGCCCATAATGCTAAAGTCTGTGAAAGTAATATTGAAATTGTTCAATTAAATATAAATTGATAATTTTAAGAAGTAAAAAAAACGCTTATTCATCATAATAAAGTGAGAACTATTCAGATTATTTCACAAAATTAGTTGACTGCTATTTCATATTTTTAGGTTTGATTTTACGTTTTATCAACGTTCAATTCATCATCTTTCATCTTCTCGAATTAAATTCTCATTGTTTAGTCTTTTCCACTATCATTCCTAATGAAATGACTTCAGCAATTTTGATGCCCATTGTCTTAATCTCATCTTGTTATGTTAAGTTGATAGGTCAACTTGAATCGACACGTATTTGTAATGGATCATGGGTTGATTTTGGCCGACCGTAGCTGCTACCTCAGCTTGGTAGTAGAGCTTGCACTTCTTGATGATTGATCACTTTAAGTGCTGTTCGTCAGGATGTCCATTCTCGCCAATCTTATTCATATTCTTCGTGCTTTTTGAGACGAAACTTTCATCGCTTGGCTTAGCAGGAGTTACAGTTTTATCAGGAGATTCGCTTGTTTGTTGACTTGAAATATGCTAATGACCTAGTTTTATTTGGTGAAGACGCTGAAAAAATACAGTCTTCTGACTACCTTAAGCAACAATGCAAACATGTTCGAGATGCGATTCTCAACCTCAAAATGTGAAATGTTGCTTCGGGATCGGCTTGCACCGGTGCCTTAACTAGTGATAGAGAGTGAAATAGGTAAGCGTGCCGACTGCTTCACTTGTCTGCGGAGTCTCATCAATGCTGATAGCCTGGTGTGTGACGAAAGCTCGGCTGCGATACGGAACGCTTTTGTCAACTTGCTTCACTCATGGCATAGGAGAGATATCCATCTACTAACCAAAGGACGACTCTTCTACGCAACATTTCTCTCCGTCCTACTATATGGGTGTGAGACATGACCAGTAAGATCAGAAGATATTCGTAAGTTACTATCAGTCGATCATTGGTGTCTTCAAAGCATTGCTGGTATATCCTGGGACCACTGAGTAAGCAATGCTGTTGGTAGGAAAAAGGGTACTAAGTAAGGATGGCAGATCATAAGATGGAGTACTGAAACTTCATCAATTGGGGTGATTGGGACATGTGTTACGAATGCCCGACCACCGACTGCCTCGATGAGCGATGTTTTGTGGTGCAGGAGTAGGCAGGAAGAAAGCTAGTGGCGGCCAGACCAAAACATAGCACAGATCCATGAAGTCACTGACAGCTGGACTGAGCCATATCAGTAGGTGTAGAATACCTGACTGGAGTCGGCAAGAAAATTGTACTCAGTGGTTATAGACTTTGATTTTCCATATAACCTTTTACTCTGTTGAAATTTACTTATTTGGATTATATTTCTCGAATCATATCTTCGATCCGTTTTCTTCCATGTTACAAATAACTCTCATCTACTTATACTTCTATGAGTTTTGAATTGTTAATTACGTCCCTCTGTACTAATGTGATATGGTAACTTGAATTTATATGTGTACGAAACGCATTCTATGTTACAGCTGATTGATTGACTTTGACTAACCGATTTTGTAATCCCTTTTTTCAACCTATGAATTAAAAACTACGTTTAACCGTTTAGGATTCTTATGAACTAGATTTATAATTATAACTTGTAAATTACAATTGATATTGTCATGGTTTGCCAAAATCTTTAAAATATTGTTTATGACCACTCTTGGTACACAATATTTCTACAACCATCCATTCTGTTGATATGCTTCATCGATTCTTTTCCACTCATTACTTATTAGGATAGTTGGATCGCTGATTAACAATTATTGCATGTTAAGGCTGCTTGTACTTAGCTTAAAAGATGCTTCATAGTCGAATAGGTTCATCGTATTATTTGAATTTCTTTCTCTGGATATTCTGTCACAACTCAAAACCCTTATCTTTAGATATTGCCAATGATCGAAATTCAAACCGATAAATTATATCTATAACGTCCTTTCGCAAAGTGTGTGGACATTAAGGTGGGAGCTCTTCTAAATAATGACGATCATCTAGTATATAATAATCTTCGGCTTGCTACTGAGTGTCATCAAAACTAGTCCTGGACTTATATATTGATCAACCCGACAATCGTTATCTTTTTAATTTCCGACGATGCATAATTTTCAAAAGACGTGTCGAAGTTTGACGGGCTTTTTTCTGTTGTATAAATAGATTGAGAAAGATTCGCTATAGGTGAAATGAGGTTCAGAAAATTGCTTAATTTAAGTACATATTAAGTCTAACGAACTTCCTGCTAATGATGGATGAGATAGATTAATGTGTAGTTTAACTAAAAGACATATAAAGAATTATGAGTAATCAAGCATTTTGAACGGCTAGTATTTAAACGAGTATGAGAAATTTCTAGGTTGTCCATTATACATGCTCATTCATACAAACATGAAGAAGCACATAAACGAAGGTATAGGCGAATTATTACAGACTTATACAACGCTATCTACTCAGTCTGTTGACTGAAGGGCTTTGTGGCTGAATATATACGACCTGATGTACTAGTAAGGCTACTGCTCAAGCTACTATTAGATTTTATTTCTAAAGACCGTAAGATCCCTTTTAACTACAAGAGATATCACTTTGATTTGGTGTACCGGGCTGTAATCAATGCGAATAAATAACCTTGCGTACAATCATGAACTGACTGAAGTAAGACAGTGAAATCATTGGATGCCGACTCAGTGGTCTAGAGGCTAGGCGTTCGCATGAGAGATCGAAGGTCCTGGGTTTGATTCCCGCATATGGGGGTGGTGATGCGCACTGCTGGTGCGTCTCATACTAGGAAAAACGGCAGTCTAGTGTTTCCATATTCCTAATGCTGGTCTAGCTAGGATCATTTCATGATTTTAACTATGAAAATATTAAACAAATGATCATTCTCGTATTTATTTATCCATATTATTTTATCAACATTAATGATACTTTCAGAAATCACTAATGATATATAACAATGATCTTTCAAATCGAAATCTGGACACATTTGTATTGTGCTCATGCGTATATTGCTTAAAATAATTTTCATGTCTCAAGTAAGCAATCAGTCTGATAAACAGATTAATGTTGTGTGTATGCATGCATTCTCCGAACATGGAATTACTCTGAATTGATTCAAAACATATATTTGACTAGTTTAACTATTTCAATGATATTTGTGTGACACAACAGTTAGGTCATTTTAAGAGATTAAATTGATCAGTTATTCCACTAAAAAGTATCTTGAAATGTGTTAGGTAGTATAGTACTTCTAATTTTATACGGAGATTATCGACTAGACTAATAAGAAATGGTTTTCATAATGCATATTGTTGGAAAAGTATTAATCTCGATAATAATAAGGTTGAGTGTTAGCTTTAGTGAATATTTATTAAAAATCATGCTAATAACTTTATAGTGCAAAATTTAGAATTGCTAATTGCATTTCTTATGAATTCACTTTAAACACAAATCATTTATGATGTACTCATTGTCTGCGTTCATGTAATTGCTAACAGTGTGAGTAAAATACAATATATTGGGGCTCCATACTGTTAATGATTACTTCTAGTTGTCGTTTTAAGTTGGTCAGGTACTGCTCAGTTTAAACGGACCATGTGTTTAGCGCTTTCTCACTGATCGATAAAACGACAACCAATCAATCAATCAACAGCAACATAGAACTTCGTACGTACGTGTAGTTATAAGATAAAATGATGATAGTCATAATCATAACATTAAATAAATGTATTACATCGTAGATACTCACTTGCTCTGCATTAAACAGTTGATTTTGATCTAAATCTGCATTTGTTACAGCTAAGTTGAATATTGACAATAATTTGCTCTGTTCTTCTTGCATTTTAATATATTGATCAGATAATGTTAAATTAAGATTGAGTTTCTCTCTTAATTCCTCCTGATATAAATGATAGGATAATCAAACAAAAATGGCTTTTTATATATTTTCTTTTCAACAACAAATCAATCAGTAAAGCACATTCTTCGAACTCCTACTCTAAGTTGATGCTATCAAATAAATTACATTATGCAAATGGGAGTTCATAAATGCTTTGTTCTTATTTTGTAAAAGTGACTAAATGAAGAGTTTAGTTTAAAAAAATTGAAATTATTTAATTTCATGATTCAGAACTTTTAATAATCGTTGGAGTGGAACTAAAATTAACTGAAAACTCGCTGAACTTCACTTGAGAATATATTAGTTTTTCAAAACCTCTAAGTGGTTAACTATTACTTCAGCTTTCAGATATTAAGGTCGATAACTTACTTCATCGAAGAAAGCTCCAGATGGTTTGAATGGATTATTTTTCGATTATACTTTTAATTAGTCATATGTGTCATTGTAGATTTATCACCTGAGCATCCTTGAACAATGGAGCGAGCAATATTGGAGTCAAACGTATGATAGCTAGCGGAAGTTAGAAGTCAGTTACTGAAACTCTGAATGGTCATTTTTTGAAGTATCTGGAGCATGTGTAAGGTTTGTCCAACCGCATCCTACCTCGATGAACGATACTGTCCACAGCGGAAACAAGTTAGGAGAAATATGGCGGTTACGGTGGTCAAACTGTCAGTCCATTAAATCAGTGACTGTCGAGCTGTTCCTTTTTAGAATTTCCAAATTATGTAGTTGTGGATCTGAGCAATAATTGCAACCAAAGATTAAAGGTCTATTGTAGTGGTGTATATGGATTTTCTTTTCTATCTACCTGTAGATCTATAGTTTATTACCTCTCCAAATGCTCTGGTAAGGTCAAGAAGAGAGAGAAAACGTTATCACTTAAAATGCCCCCAAATGGTCATGCGTAAATAGACACTGCCACGAAAGTCCTACTCACTTCCTTCTCGCCGCGAGGTGTTGTTTACGTAATCGAGAGGATTAAAATCGAATGTCCAACACTTTAACCGGGTTAGCTGAAAGGGGGATCCACCTAGGGGAGTTAGAAAAGCCTGCTGCCAAACCGACGACGTCCAGGATCCTGATAGGACGATTGGCGACACTTGTTTATTCTTATTTCGGGTACTTCTTACTCTCCAACTCGTGCAACAGTTCGGCTGTGGTGGAAATCTTGTCCTATTTAAACGATCTTAAGTAACTGCTTGGTAGAAATTTGAAATCTGTCACCAAATATGAATTCTGAATCAGCCCTTCTGAAACGACGTTTGATATTCAAACTAGCTTCACTCCACGTTCATACAATAATGCAGGTCAGACAATAGATAATGTTGGCTATGTCCTTATCAAGTCTTAACATCGACGTCTGTTCTCTATTCGAAGGCATCCTGAGGTATCTTCGTCTAGTTTTGATGGTGTTGCTGTTGCAATAAGCAGCGCTAATCGATTGGATTCTCATCAACAGTCGATTATGTACTGCTAGATTAGAAAGTTGCAGCAAAGTGAGAAATTGGTATTAGAAAATATGCCTTTTCGTTATCTTAAACTACGCCCCGACAGGCTGCAACTGCGATGCAACCAAGAGTGCATTCAACCAAAAGTGATCTCTAGCTGGTGCATTCTACAGATACCTTGGTACTAGCTACAAACTTGAGTGCGTAGGTCCGGAGTCTAGGCACTGAATAGAGCCGTCCGTATGACCAGTGAGGACTCGCTGGTCGCAGGTCGGATAACGGCAATCGGCTACTGCAACTCTAACCAGGCTACAACTTGTTACTGGCTATTGCAAACTATCGACACAGTCATCGCCGATGTGCTACCTGGCATCACCAATCTGCAGCCCAAGCCTTGGATCGGTTTGATCAAATCGTGACCAGCTACAGCTGGAGTGGTTGCTTTCCAAACTGCCGCTCCTTTTGGATGACGTATCTGGACTCTGATCATGCCCTTGTTTGCGCTAGTCCTATGTTATGTTAGGCACTAGCGGCTCCGCGTAGCGTCCTGTTTATCAGCTCAGGGTTTCTACAGGTTCCTTACAACTCGTTGAGACACGTCGGTCTACTTCAAGTTCGAAGATAAAAGAAGACTACTACGCATTCAAAAAGTGCATAGTTTGAGTGAGGACCGAGAAACCTGGTAGCAGGAACGTGCCAACGAGTTAGAAGTGTCAGCTACGTTTGTTAAGTGCAGTAAGCCCTTTCAACTCCTCCGTGCTACTGGCAATAAGACGTCTTGTGTGATTGAAAAAATCTGTAAATCTGATTGGATATCAATCATTCACATCCACTGACGTCTTTGACGATAGACAGTTTTTCGAGAAACAGTCCAACTGGTCTGATGCCCTAGAGAATACGACCAAACTGTTCTTGTCCTCCATGGCCGGTGACGGCTAATCTATCTAATGAGATGGAAGTCCTAAAGAACTTTACCTCTTGAAGCGCTAAAAATAACCAGACGAAGATAACCTATCTGTAGATTGTTCAAAACACGATAAAAATTGGTTCGCCAGGAGCAGGTTGGCTTTTTGTTCTGGTCCATGATGTATTGATTACCTTTTTAACCTCCGCCAAATGTTTGAATGCTCACTTTTATCACAGGCCAACAATCATTGTCTCTTGACTTCAGAACCGCTTTCGATTTGTTGAACAGGGCTGTTCTCTGGGCCTCTATTGTAGAATAGCTGTCTAAGTAGTTTATTATCATTTTGGAAGTCATATAAATAAACGCCTCAGGTTGAGGGATGGCATACAACTACCTCTCTCGATTGTTTCGCCAAAGCAGTGGGATTATATATACACCATTTAGCCAGGGTTTCTTAATCTCACGACTCCTCTCCAACTTTGTCACGGATGACATCCTACAGGCAGCTCAGACGGACGTAGGCAATCGTAGTGCGGATTTGTCAACTAGAGAAAGACTTACCGACCTTCAGTAGCCAGATAATATTGTCCAGGTCATTCAATCTACACCTAATCTGTGTCCATAGGTATGGTATTTGCTCCTCACCTAAGTATAGAACACTTTTACGAGACTGAAAAGGCTGAATATGCATCCACTCTTGGTAGCGAGCGGATCGAAGAAGTCGAAAAGTTCTTATACCTGAGTGGCTGTGTAAATGCTGGTTATGGCGTGAGCGATGAGAGAAATCCACTTATAGTGAAAGCAAGAGCGGCTTATGCCAATCTGTGGCAACCTCATGATGTTAGTCCGGCTCTAAAAGTTCTCATCTACAATTCATTCATGAGAGCAGTTTTTCACCATGTTTGCAAAACCTAGTCTCTCCAAGTCGAAGATATCAGTAAGCTTTCTGTGTCCAATCACCGATCTCCGAACGATATCTATAGTTCAGTGATAAACCATTTCAGTAATTTATAAACTCAACAACGTGAGTTTGGGCACAGCAAAAATAATTCAGTTGGTCTCACCATCTCAAAACACTGACTTCGTTGGCTTGGACATGGACTACGAGTATTATCCCGGAGAATGTCACATCGCACATCATTTACCAAAGCTAGAGTCGATTAGAAAGTGCGGGAGGTGGTCAGCGTATGACATGTCATGATATGAAAGAAGGCTGTGTAGCACTGGGATCTTTGAGTCCTTCCTGACTCTTTGGTGCAATTAAGCGACTTGAAATGTTATCAGATTTTATTTTATTTGCATAAACAAAAGGAACGTCTTCAAATGAAAGGATTCTTTTTAATTATATTTTCCGTAACTAAACTGTTTCTCCCACTGCCAATTTTTTTACCCTCATACACTAATTCCAATCCATTTTTCCTTTATTCCCACTGTTCTATCACACAAGTGCTATGTAGCCATATTAATGCCGTCCGAACAGAATTAGAGATTTATAGTTAGTATTTAGAGATTGTGGTTAAGTTAAGCAGAATGAAGGAATGAATAAGACTTCAATGCAAAATCAACTTTATAGATGATGTCATTTCGTGATGAGAACTAATCATTCATATGTAAAGGTTTGTTATTCACCCTAAAACTACTGTTAATTATAATGGTAATGTTGTTTAGTCAAGAATCGTTTCATCGCTAATCACCCTCTCCTCGTTCGTTAAAAGGTAGTTCAAAGTCGTCTATGTACTATACCTCAACCGATATAGTGTTCACTTTTCTGCTAAATAAAATCTACACAGTCAGAAAAGGTTTACTACAGTCAAAATTATTTTCATTATTATTTTTATTCTTATGATGGCTAGTAAAGACAGCTAATTGGAATAGGTCAAAAGTGAGGTTCACTTGATCACAACTAGAAATCTAAAAAATAAATTTAAATCATACTGATCAACAAATGAGTTCATTTCAAATAGTGTGGAATGTATATATATGAGAATTTATGTATATGGTTCAGTAGCCGAATGAGCTTCTATTCCACTCTTGCCTTCATGCTCAAGTAGTCACCCTGAAAAGTTTATGTGTAACTCGTTCAGGTCTGAGACACCACACATCAGAACAGTGGCCAAAAAAATGATTTTTCTGAAGTCATCTTAAACGTTCCGAGCAATATACAGTGGTGTTTCTACGTCCTGTTGTTCATGATACTTGCATTCCACACAAAACTTTATAGTAGTGTTCTGCGTTCTTTTCGATTTCTCCCTATACTACACTGAAATTCATCAACGGCTCACTAACCGAGATTGGTTATCCCAGCGCATTCATAAAGAAGTATATGTTTGCCGTAAAAAAAAGAAGTCGGTGGTTTCGACCGCCCAAAAGAAGCCTTTATTTATGAAGTTGCAATTCAACGGAGATGTGGCCTGCGATACTCTGCAGGACAGATTAACGAGAGTAATTAATAAAACATTCAACGCTGCCAAACTTGCATTGACATTCTCCAGTCGACCAGCGATGACTACCCAAACGAAGGATAAGTTACTTGAGTTGGCCTCCTCTATGTGCATTTACAAATTCAGCTGCTCCTGTGGAGATAGCTATATCGGGCATACTTCCAGGCAACTTACACAACGAATGAGTGAACATCTCCCAGCATGGTTTACGAAGGGTCAATCAAAAACAATACGCAGTTCTATCTTAGCACACCTGGTAGATAGTGGTCACATTGTAGATAAATCTAGATCTTTTCGGGTGATCTATCGTATACCTCCATCATTTCCCAACGGAGTTCGATCCCGTCTCCTACACATTGCAGAAGCCATAGGAATACGTACATTCAACCCTAATTTATGTGTTCAGAAGAAATTCGTGACACCCCTATCTCTTCGTGGCCGGATATGACGTAACTAACGATTGACATTATATATTTTGTTTTATTTTATTTTTATTTTTACACATTTGCTTATCACGTAATGCTTTTGTTGATTTTTGATGATTATTTGAATTCTATTCATACACCTTTGACCTACTTTAGCTATCATATTTTATAAATTTTCCGACTACTATCTGTTCAGCTATCTGCCTACTATCCACTTGTACTTTTGCCCTTTTCATTTCACTGTGATTTTCACTCAAATTGCCTTGATTGGTTTAACATTTTCATATAAATATTGTTCGCTTATATGTGTTGTTCTAATTTTATCTAAATTATCTATATATTCAACTCACGACAATGTGTAAATGATTGTCCCACGAAATAAACTCCAAACCAATAAACAAGCTATTTTTTCTTCAGCGAATATAATTCTCCCTCCTAATTATTTCGAATAAAATGTGTAAATTTTGCCACAATCTATCAGCATAAAAAACTATCCCACACAAATCAAGTCAAAATATTGTGTTCCCGGTGGCCCGGTTGAACTAAAACAGTTTCCGACAGTTATTGGATGCATTTGTTGCTGCCAATATGTCCCTTCCTACGATTTATGAGATATCTTGAGCTAAGTAACTATGTGTATCATCAAACTAGAGATTAGCTGGACTAAAATGACATGATTCGAAGATTCTGCGGGAGACTGGATCAACTCAGGGCTTATAAGAGTGGCTCCATGCATGTAAACCCAGTGCCCATCTACGTTTTTATGAAGCAAGTACAAGATAAGTTAGGTGCATACTAAGAAGCCACTTGAGTTCAGTGAGGTACTCTAAGGTAAGCGGTAGTTCGGTACTCACACACCTTAGTAGCTGATTTCAGCTATCAATCCAAGACCAAACTTTAAGTCGTTAAGAAAAAAGCATCAAGTGATAACTGTTGGAAGCTGATGCTGTACTGAAACATGTTACTGTCTTTTCAAAGCTTTAAAAGGTGGTCACCGTTAGCTGGTAACGAGTTGACGTTTTCCACCAGAGCGACTATCGTCAATGCCTTGACGAAATTATTCTTGTGTTGCAATAGAAAAACAATTAGGGCTGCATTATTCTATGACTAATTGAAAGTCAACTTTGATCGGAAAACCTATAAAATCGTAAAAGTTTATTTGTCTTGTTTCAGTAATGGTTTCAGGTAAATTCCTGATAAACAGTAATATGAAAAAGGTTCAGATGAGAGAACAATAAATAAAGCAAATTATACATCTAATGCTGTGATGTATGAAATTTTCAAAAGTTATGAGATATTGGATAAGTATTACCTTTAGTTTCTTTAATACCAAATCACGAGTTTTCATTAGATTCGACTGTTGTAATTCACGTTTGGTTTGAAGTTGGCTCATTTGTTCAGTTTGCCCTTTCAAAATGCTTAGTTCTGAGATTATTGTTTTGTTCGTTTTGGTAAGATCAGCCATCATATTTCTAAAAAGGAAGGAAGAGGAACGTTCAATTAAAAGGACAAAATTTCAAACTAAGAAGGAGTGTTGAAGTTATTTGCAACTGCAGTTCTGAATATGTGTAGTATACTGTAGCCAGATATCTCGGGTGAAAAACACAGAATGTGCAACTAGAAAATGATCACTAATTGTGAAAAGTTCAGTTTTGTTGAAAATCAGTGAAGTCCAAATACCTTATTACTTCATCTGATGATTTCAAATACTCCTCCCTTGTAAATGTCAAATAAAACTAAACATGAATCCAAAGTGTTGTAGTGAAAGAGAACACAGGTGGGGCAACCGAATTGTATTTAACGAAAATTACAGGGTTACTCAGTAAAATTGGAAAACCAAATCGTAAATCGTTCAGTTGCAAAATAACAGTTCATCATATCGAACTGGACTGTTCCTGTTGCAAAACATCAATCCATTGTGACTATTCATGCGTTTCATACAAATTCCATTGTTTTCTAACTCTCCCTTTCTTGATCTTCCCCCATCTTCGGCTGCCAGACATTACGTTGACGCTCACGTCATATACTACTTATAAGTAGCTCGCACCACAATGTCTTATCGAGTGTTGGCAATCAAATAACATTAAAAAGTATTCACAAATATTATTTTTAAACTCAAAAATGAGAATTAGAATATATAAAACAGTATAGTAATAATTACTTCACCTTAACTGACTTAATTTTGTAGTTCCTCGCAGTTTCACTTTCATTAATGCTAACAATGATAATTTGAGTTTATCTTGTTTTTCCTCAAGAAAATTCTTCTCACTAATCATTTCTTCAAATTTTGTTTTTAGTTCATTGAATTGCGCTTTCGATTTCAGTAAAGAATCATTTAGTGTTTGAACTTTACTACTCATCGTAGAATATTCTTGATTCCATTCATTTTCGAACTTGTTAGTTAAGAAATGGATAATGATTGGAAAAATGATATCATCGATTATAATGTTTTTTTTTTTAAAAAAAAAACTATCCTTAAAAACGGAAATTCAATTGCAGTCTTGTAGAATTATCAAGTGAATTATGCTTAAGTTAGGCATATGGCACTAAATATATGTGGCATATCAGTTCATGAAAATGTGTAGCTTCATCATCACCGGTTTAAACATGTGACGTATTGAGATGGTGAAGAAAATTTCTAGCTCAGGGGGATAATTGTAGTGGTGTTTCATTCTCTGAGCTGGATGTTTTGGTTGTGGAGCTTTCGTTGTCCTTCTGAACAACATCATCAGCACAAACTTTAGATAGAAGACAGGTTTCAGGCCAATAGAAACCAATCAAGATCGGGGTAACCAGAATAAGCTAAGGGTCAATCAAACGTGGAGAAATTCGAATATTTCACTTCTATCTGAAGTTTGTGCTGATGATGTTGTTTAGAAGAACGAGGAAAGTTCCACGACCAAAACATCCAGTTCAGAGAACGAAACACCACAACTATCTGACGTATTCCTAACCATTGTTTAGGAAAGCTAAAGCCTACTGGAATTCCCCTGACATTCATAATCTTTAGTTATGAACCTATGAGATTATTACCTATATATTTTGAATTTGGCGGTATTTCATGTACATAATTTTTTGATTTTATTAGTCTTGTTTTTATATTATCCATGATATCAAATAACTTAATGTACTGAGACTTTTTATTGTTTTCTTATCTTACTCCCAGAGTGTTGTTTGCATAATTTATCAATTTTAGTATTGACTGGGGATTCGGTTGATAACTTTATTAAATATCATCATTGTAAGTCACTTATTATACAAAAGATTCATATTTTTTTTTCGACGAATCGATAATTATATTATTTATCACTGAATGTGTTCAAAAACACTAGTGTTTTTTTATTCTAAATATCAAAAACCAGTACTACTATTCTTTTCCAATAAAATCAGTAGGTCAGTCAAGTTTAATTTTTATTGAATTGTACAACGAAAGTAGCACATTAACTTTTTGGAAATGTACAAATCACAAATTACTACGAATATATTTGTATTATATGAATCATAGTGATTTCGGCACCTGAACTAGTGATAAGGAGTGAAGTAGTCGAACGTGTAGACCGCTTCACTTATCTTGGGAGTCTCATCAGTGCTAATGGCCTGATGACTGACGAAATCTCAGTTCAGATTCAGAAGGCTCGATTGGCTTTTGCCAACCTACGTCACTTATGGCGTAGGCGAGATATCCGTTTGCTGACTAAAGGACGAGTGTACTGAGCAGTAGTTCGCTCCGTCTTACTCTATGGCTGTGAAACATGGCCAGTCAGAGTAGAAGATATTCGTCGGTTATTGGTTTTCGATCATAGGTGTCTTCGAAGCATTGCTCGTATATCCTGGGACACCCGAGTGAGCAACGCTGCTATTAGGAATCGGGTGCTAGGTAAGAATGGCAGATCAATAGATGAAGTGCTGAAACTTCATCTATTGAGGTGGTTGGGACATGTGTTGCGTATGCCTAACCACCGGCTGCCTCGAAGAGCTTTGTTTTATAGTGTAGGAGTAGGTTGGAAGAAAATTAGGGGCGGTTAGACTAAAACATAGCAGAAATCCATGAAGTCATTGACGAGTGGACTTATCCATGTCGGTAATTGTCGACTACGTGGTTGGGGCCGCGACATGATACTAATCGATGGTTAGAGACCCTGAATGAGATGGCTCAAAATCGCTCACAATTGCGCCGGTGCATTTATTCTCAGTGTTCTCTCAAATCCTAATCTTCTGGATTCTTCAACGCCTCTAGTTTTGACTTTCTAAACTTTTCTCACTGAATCATACTTCTTGAATAATATCTTCTAATCCTTACCTCTCCGATTACTTCTAATAACTTTACTACCTCTACTACTATTGAATTGGTATGGCAACATGAACTGATGTACTTACGTACGAAGTTCTACGTTGCATCTGACTGACTGACTGATAGTGATTTCGTATAATTGACAAACATTATTAACAATAAAACTAATTCTTATTAAGCTGGAAATTTTTTTTTGCATCATTCAAATAATTCATTGAATAAAACTTTTCAATAATTACTTACTTGTTTATATTCATTTTGTATGATGTTCAGTTGGTCTAAAGAATGATTATGATTTAATCGAACAGCTTCTAATTCTAATTTGACATTTTCAATATTACTTTCTAATTGTTTAGCTGTTGCTTCTAATTCTAAACGCTTTTGATAACCATCTTGTTTGATTTTTTCAAATTCTAAAAGACTATTTTCAAAATCTATCATCAATTTAGATTTGATTGCACATTCCTAATTGTTTCAATTAAATGGAATGATGTATAATCAATAGTTAGAGAATAAATATCATTTGAGACGAATTTAGAAAAAGAAATGTAATGAAGTAACCGAATGGAATTGTGTTGCCGTCATTATTACTTACTTATCAATTAGTACGGAAGTTTTATTGAAGAAGTTACATTTGTTGAAGAAAAGCAAAAAAAATGATTTATCAACTAGAGTAAGTCATTTGATGTTTATCTCTTCGTCTGTGCTAATTTGAAAAAAAAATTATACCATCTAACTACAGATTAAGTAATGAATGACACTTATTTCGGTAGTAAATAAGTAATCATATATATGTAATCGAAAGAGTAAACCATTTCCGTTGAGTAATAAAAAATACGGTTCTTTGACACTGAAACCTGCTGTATTATCCTAGTGTTAGTGTTTTTTTGAATACACTTCATGACTTTTTTGTTATTTCTGATGCTCAGCAACACACCTTTTCTAACCCTTCCTTCCTTCTGAGAAGGGCAGCATCGCTGTAGATGCTGGTTGTCCGATGGAAACACCTTACTGCTGTCACACCCCTCTGCAGTCAGCAGTACGACTTCATCCCTAGAACTAGAGTAGCTGCTTTTAGTCTCATCATTCTCCAATCGACCTTCCTGGCATGGTAGAACCTTCAGGAACATATGTTTCAGCCAGTATAGCTCGGTTGAGTCATCACGATAGGCAAGCCCGACCACCGCGTCAGGGTAGCAGCTACGGTCGGGATATATATATATATATATATGTATATATATATATATGTATATATATATATATTTGTATAGACTTAAAAAATGATCCAAATAAAATATAATTTGTTGAGGACGTAAGATCCCCAGATCTCGCTTGATAAATGTCTTAATTTTGAATTTCATGTTTTCGAGCATGGTCTGACCTTGAGATTTCATTTCCCACCAGTAAAATCCTTGGCCGTGGTTGGTTGCTGTGTATTTTAGTGTGTTATTTTTGTGACTGTCCCGAGGACGTTTCTATGATGCATAAATAAACGAGATTTGTGTGCTTGAATGAATTGTGCTTGCTGGATGTTTGGAGAATATACTTTCTACGCTATATCAAGACTTTTCATTGATCAACTATTCAGGGTAGCCTACCTGGACGCTGGTTCATTGTCTCGTTTTAGTTTATCGACTAAGGGGAACCGGTATTAGTTTCAAGCATACTTGGTGACGAACCTAACATAATTCATTTGATATTTTAATATTGAAACGAAAGAGTAATTACAAAAACACTATTTCTTCGCTGACTAGATACGCTGGACACAATTGTTAGTTTAGATGTAAGTAAGTATGCCGAATATTAAGGTGAAACTCCGATCCTGCACGTCACTAATTCTCACCGCTCAATTATTCATCAAAGTTGCATACCTAATACTGATCAAATTTGTTTCCGACTAAAACTGTTACAAGTATAACCCTGTAAAATAAAGTTTTGTCAAGTTTATTCACATCTTAGGTTATAATTGATTTCGTCATCAAAATCTTTAAACAATTTTAGTTCATTAATATACTTTATTTTAAATCACAAACGAAATTTTTCCAGCTTATTTATTGTAAAACTATAGTCTGATATGTTTTACATATCAAATGGTGAGAAGTATTCTATCAGTTTTATCATTGTAATGAGAGAATAGTTTAAAATTCATATATAATTCTTTTAGTAGTATTTCAAATTCATTATGAAGAATTTTGAAATGGCTTCAGACACACTGAAAAGAAGATTAATCCATAAATGAATGACAAGAGATTCATATGAAGGCTGTTGTAATTACATTTCACTCTTAAGGTGTACATATTTACGAGTAATAAAGTTCTAATCACTTTGATTTCAGTAGTACCGTCCGTTTACTCAATTCACTTACTCATTCTGTATGGATGGGTTTTTTGGTTTATAAAATATTAGGCTTTCACTTAAGTTATCATATTTATCAGTTTAGTGGTAAAAAATCGATTATACTGGAACTCGAAACTAATACTTGTCGCTTCGAAAACAACTCAAATTTCCATTTGTCAGGATATTCATCAAATATCCCAAGATTACTATTTTTGTAAGTCTAATTCTATTTATCAATACCTACTGGTCTATATATTGGTAGTCCTCACTATCAATGTCACAGATTCCATTGTTGTTCCCTATTAGACCTAACTGTATAAATAGGCATTATCTGTAAAGCTTATTATTCCTTCATTCCTTCTGCACTCGACCCCATAAATAACTTCATCCAACGGTGTTGTGTTCTGATATATTGGAGACTCGTACCGGAGTATCTGAATTCGGTCAATCGGTTGGATGTCGATTAGCTGCATAGCCTATTATAACACCATTAGAACAGCAGTGTCATACATGTTTATCTCATACATAGAACGAATCACCTTCAATCTTGTTAATCATTGAAGCACATTGTACTCTATCCACAATGACAGTCTTCAACAGGCTAAGCACCTACACTAAATATTTCGTAATGCCCCCCAATATGACATTAAAAAATCTAATATATAATGAATGATAAAGTGAATCTATGAGCTATTATTTTTTTGATGTGAAATTTTAAGTATGGTTGGAAACTGTTTACTGAAAAACCGCACAAAGGTATCACTATTCAAACTTCAAAAGTTACTACTTAATAATACAAAATAGATAAATTATGATAGCAACATTGTTAAATAGTAAAGGAATGGAAATATATAAGCTAAAACGGACTAACTGATACAAAAGCCTTTCCGAACATTTGTACATTTTATTTATTTCATCCTGAAGGCCGTTGAAAACAGTGTTGCAGTTATAGAAATAAGTTGATGTGCTCAACTATGTCACATCACTTACATAATATAAAAATTAGTCAACTGTATTTGCAAGAGTGAAGTGTTTTTTTATCTTCAGTGTATTCAGTCTGTAACACCTTATCTGTTGTTCCGAAAAAGGTTTCATGAAATATAGTACACATAAACTATTCTTTTGAAATGTAGGCAAAAAACAAATAATTGACTAACCTCCTCAATTTTGTGCCGTAAATGTTTTAACATATTTTGTTTCTCATCTTGTTCCATTCTTGTTCTAGATTTAGTTAATTCTAATTCATCTTTAACTGATATATGTTTCATTTGTGTACGATTGTAGTCTACATTGGAAACTTGTAATAAATCTTGTGCAGTAACTAAACGTGATTCAAGTAATTCAATAGATCTTCTACATTTCGCTATTTCATTCTGACTGTTAAGTGAATGATTATTATATTTTACATATTAAAACCAAAATAGAAAAAGTCAGTATCAATATGAAATACAAAATAAGCTGGTTATACAAGTTATCAACAAAAAAAGCAGCAGAATATCAAAGGGTGAGTAGACAAATCCAATCAATTAGTGAGTCAGTGATTAGCAGTATAATGAGTTGGTATAACCGTGCATCCATCAGAGTTGCCATATCGCAATAAAGAAGCCGTGTATCGCAATGGATATGGCAGTTAGAGTAACAGTGTTAGTGCTAGCAGTAGCTTAACCAAATGAGTGAAGACGTTACGACCAGACAGAATAGTAATGTATTTAGAGAAAATACAGTTTGCAATGAGTGAACCTTATTTTCAGACTTACATTTGCAAAATAAACAGATTATAGGTTGCCGTCTTTCATGCCTCTTGGTTTTAAAAATACTTTGATCGCGCTATGCATTCAGACTCGATAATCTTATCTCCGACTGTAACTTCTGGGCGACAGTCCTCTGCATCCTACTTAGAACTCAGGTTGTGAGTAGCATGCACAACAGTAATAATAATAATAATAATAATAATAATAATAATAATAATAATAATAATGGTAGTAGTTTCAGTGTTAATAAAACAGCATTAGTAGAAAAATATTTTTTAGTGAAAAACAACAAATGAAAAGCACAAAATAATCTAAAAACTTAAGATCTAGGAGTAGGTAAAGCATAAATCCACCTTCTCTACTGTGTTATGGGCTGACATAGTTTTAGATCACTACTTTTTGGTCACCAAGATGAAAATAAAACTGAAGAACACTGGAAAACAGAGCGGACAATATCGAGATAATGGCAAGCTCAACGGATTCAAGAAAGCTATCATCAAAAGTTTTCAGACCTTTCACTATCTACTCAATGAAGAGGAAACTACTATGGGGAACAACTGGAAAGGTATCAGCGCCGAAATAACTTCGGCATGTCGTGAAGTTCTAGGTCACAAGAAGCACCATCATCAGCATGACAAAGTGTGTGCGTGTGAAAACTACGGAGGCATCATTCTTCTTCAATACAAGAAAGTCTTCAACAGAGTGTTGTTGAACCAGATGAAAGATTCCGTCGACTATCAAATTTGAGATCAACAGGCTAGATTTCGTAAAAATCAATAATGTATAAACCGAATCTCCACCCTACTGATCATCATAGAACTATCAACTGGATGAAATTCTGTATCAACTTCAATGACTTCAAGAAAGCATTTGATAGCTGGGACAGGATAATACTGTGGAGGCATCTTCGACACTATGGTCTGTCTGAGACGACAGTCAACATCAAACGGAATTATTACGAAGAATTAAACTGCAAAATTATGAACGGAGAACAGCTGACACAGTCGTTCGAGGTGAAGACCAGTGTCAGGCAAGGTTGATTACTCTCACCCTTTCTCTTGATGGTCGACTGAATCATGAGGACGTCAACTTCGGAGGAGCACTCCGGGAGCCACTGGACAGCTGGGATGCGGCTGGACGATCTAGACTTAGCAGATGATCTGCCTCTTCTACCGCACACACAACAACAACAAATCCAAGAGAAGACGACCATTGTAACAACAGCAGCTGTCTCTTCATTAGTAGGTCTTAAAATACACAAGGGAAAAAACAAGATCCTCCGATACAACACATGCATTTTTATAACTGAAGAACATTTGGATCTCAAAACAGCTATCAACCAACACCAGATTCATAACTTCAAGTCAGTTAGTTTTACAGTATGGAGCACTACAAGAGCCATCATCCACAAGATACAGGTGTTAATTAACAGTTTTCTACGCAAAATACTGCAGATGCGTTGGCCAGACAGCATCAGCAACAACATACTGTGGAAGAGAACAAACCAGATACCAGTAGAGGAAGAAATTAGGAAAATCCCTGTAATTGGATAGAACATACATTGAGGAAGTTACCCAAATGCACTACGAGGCAGGCCCTAATTTGAAGTCCCTAAGGCCAAAAGAACGTAGGTTGATCAAGAAACACACTGAGTTGAGCATTTGAGGCAGACATCAAAAGGATGAATAGCGACTGAAAAAAACTGGAAAGAAGAGTCGAGGACATAGTTGGAGAATGCTAGTCGGCGAAGGGTAACATGAGTTAGTTACAAAATTTACCCAGACAGTATAATAAGATGGTTTCTATTCCAGAATTGCTGAATACTTAAGTGTCTGAATCCATGATGTATTTTAAACTAGTTTACTTTAAAGTTTCCTGTAATAAAAGCATCACAAACCTTATCACGCTATTAGAATTTATTCTGTGACGTTCTTTTTGTTCACTAGCTCATTATCAGTAACTTAGAATAATTTTGCTAGGTGTAACGGAGTTAGAATCACTATGTATAATGTTGCTAACCCGTTCTGTTTTCTTTCTATTGCAGGACGATCAAACATAAACGCTTTGGAAGCTGAAGAACAAGCCCTGCGTGCTCTGAACTTACAGGATGACTCATAAGACTTTGGTAAACAAGCAATCCCCTTTTCTGTAAAAAAAACCCGCGTTATTTAATTTTAAAATAAAGAGTGCTGTGGCTACCACTTCGTGTTCTCTCTTGGTGTGAAGTGTTAAACTAACCTTGTGTGTTGTGATTTTAGATCTTACCCGCCCTTCAGTGACTGCTGATTACACGTGTTACAAGAATTACAATATTGAGTAATATAAAATTTCAATGAACTGTTTACCTCATCGAAATCTGATAAGCAGCTGTTACCTATTAAGTCTATTAAATACTGTGAGAAACAATAATACTACAACAAAAATGAATGATATAACTGAAGTTGACAATATAAACAACAGATTATGACTTGATGATCTAAATGTACCTTGATACCAATAATATCTAATGATTCTACGCTCTATTCAATACAAGATAGGCGTGTTCTTTGGTATATATTTCTAAAGAGTTGAAAATTGGACATGGACAGATATTCATTGCTTCATATATTAAAACTTCAACATTTTTCAATAATACTATACATATAAGAAGTAAGTAGGGAACTAAAAACAAAAATATGCTAAACTTACTAATTTAATATTAGTTTTTTGCAACGATCATTTTCAGTTTCTAATTCTATTTCATTCATTTTAATTTTATAAAATGCTTCTGATTTCTCTTGTGACAATTGATTTAATTCATTGAGTTCCTGATTCAATTTTCCATTAAAATGACTAGTTAAATTGTCTTCATTTTTTCTAATCCATATGAATAAATTTTCTGCCATATTTTGTTTATTGACAAATTGTTTATCTAATTCAATTAATTGTTGTTTTAATTCATTGAATGTTTTTTGATATTCTTTGAATGTTTGTGTTAATGTTTGAAGTTGTACTTTAATTGTTTCGATTTTGTTTTTCATATTAATTGTTTCTTGTATAAGTATTGGTTCAACTTCTATGGCTTCTTTCAATTTATTTCTGTGAGGAGAAAAAAATAATTAATCATCATGACAAATCAATGAAATTCGTTCTGGTCTTCTTTTTTTTCAATGAAAGTCTACGGAATGGAAAGACTAAAAGTCTACTTATTTAAAATAGACTATCTCCGAAAAGAACGGCTATCCACGCAACTTCATCAAAAAACATCAACCGAAATCATCAACGGAAGTGAAATCAAGTACGGGAACCAATAAATGGATCATCTTACCATACATAAAAGACATATAGCACGACTACTTGAACCATTTGGAATAGATGTGGCACACAAACCAACAGAATCACTTCAATCAATCTTATGTAGACCAAAGGACAAAGGAAGAAAAACCAAATATCATCTACAAAATAAATTGCTCAGACTGTGAAAAACACTACATAGGACAAAGTGGACGACCTCTTCAGATTCGTTTACATGAACACCAATTAGCAGTCAAACGCCACGACAACGCTTCGCTTATATCAATACACACCGACAATAATGGACACACATTCGATTGGAACAATGTGGAAATACTTGGTAAGGGGAGGACAAAAAACACTAGAGAATTTTTAGAAGCTCAGCACTCAGGTCAATCAGCAGTCAAAAAACACATCGACAATGACCCAATTTATCAACCAATCAGAAAAATCGTAGATGACATAGGATCAAGAAACAGATCAAGAAGGGGGATACAATCAAAGCAAAGGTGCGAACAACGATAGGTTTAAGGTCAACAGCAACCAATCAAGATCGAGGTTAGCAGGACAAGCTACAGGTCAAACGTGGAGAAATTCGAATGCTTCACTTCTATCTGAAGTTTGTGCTGATGATGTTGTTCAGAAGAACAATGAAAGCTCCACAACCAAAACATCCAGCTCAGAGAACCAAACATCACCACCACAATCATCCACCTGAGCTACAAATCTCCACCATCTCAGAAAATTTGAATTTATGGATTGATTTCTTCCGTAAATTCTTGATATATTGTACACATTTGAAATCATCAATCAGTCATTGTTAGACCACCATTAGAAACCTGGAAGCACTGGACGGCCGTTTCGTCCTAGTATGGGACTCCTCAACAGTGCGCATCCACGACTCCTGCTCTCGCAGGATTCGAACCTAACTGAATAAATTAGTGTAAACTTAGTCATTTATAAAGTGGATGAATTTGTGGTTTGTAATTGGAGCTAAGATGTGCGTTTCGTTTGATTAGCGGCTTGTCCGCTGGATATACTTGCATCTCAATGTTGATATATATATGTATATACTATTTGGATGGTGTGTTATTTTTTTTAAATGCTATAATTTTTCAGTCAACTTACAACCACCATTTATTCGAAAATCGAAATCAGGTCGGTCAAGTAATGTCAAGTAATTAATTAATTCAGTGAAAAAAATCAGCTAATTAATTAAAAATGATTTATATTGCATTAAAAACTTTATTTAAACTTCATTTAACTAATATCCATAGTTTAAAAAAAATTTCTTCATCAAAAGTTTTTCACTTATTAAGAAATCGTTATATGCATATAAATAAGGTAATCATCAAAAAATGTTCTCAAATATTCCGGCAAATTATTCCATCTTAGATTTATTCAAACTTTACGAATTATGAATGCTGACAGTATGGCATTATGCGCTTTTATAAAAGGTTTTGAAAGTATCGTGATGGTTTATACTAGGTGAATATACTAGAATTTAACCCCCTTTGTAATTGTAGTAGAAAACTTTCCTTATTGAAGATAAACAGTATATACGAATTCGTGAAAAGTATTGATAAAGTATGTTATAATTTAGTCGTAATTTGAATGTACACTGACAGATGTTTGTTGTCATAATACCTGATCTCTGTTTCAAGTTCTTTACGGGAACAGAATTTATGGGAATCATAAGACCAATTAATTTTATTATTATTATTATTATTATTATCAATAATGACACTGTGAAAACAAAAAGTTATCATTCAAGACCCAACATCAAACGAAGTAACTAAAATCTTTCGGCCATTATCACATATTTTGTTTGGAGATCAATATTGTCAAAAGAATGAAAAATAGAAATAAAATTCGAAGTTTTTCATTGCAATCATTGTTTATATTTAATCAAGATTGTGCATAATCACCTGTTAAGAGTTTTTAACAAATATGACGTTATGTTACTCATACAAAACTGAAAAGCTTTATAAATATACATTTAAATGCTGAATTTCAAAGACTTCTAAAATTAATAAAATAAACTTGATAATCAATGTTTAAATGAATGAACTCTTTATCTTAGTTATAGGGTTATAAAAATGTTATTGTAGTTTGAGGTTGATTATCACATCAATTGTTCGCCTAACTATGCAACTACTGAACAGTATATCATTGTTGAAGCTTTAAATCTGTAAAATATATCAAAGCACTTTGTAGTCACTACAATAATATCTAGTGATTTTGACGATTGATTTCAATCGATTTGCAGCAAATATCTATTATTCAGTTACTGAAAATTCCTAATTACGTTGACTTAAGTTGACGAGATCTTAACAGAAACTCATCTAATGTATGCTTACTGGTGAGAGTAAAGTTATGCAGGGACTTAGAATCACTGTAGAAAAATATTCTTTTTATGAATCAATTGTTTTATCGTCTGTTATCAATTAAATGTATGAGCTTTTAAATCATTAAGTACTCTAGAAGTAATTAACACTTGATCGTATCTGACCATTTATCTTAGTCAGTTAGTCAGTCAAGCGGGACATAGGACCTGGCACATGTGTAAATCGGTTCAAGTCGCCATACGCAATTAGAACGGTTAGATAAAATTATTAGAGCCAATCTCAGAGTGATAGGTACATTAACAGTCGCATGGAATTACTTCCGACTCCCAAACTCTAGTTAATATTTTAGCCAATCCCATAACTATAACTGCACCACTATTCTTAAAGATACCTAATATCTAAGAATTTAAGTGGTTCAAAATTTTAAAAAAATAAATAAAAAGAAGAATACTTACAATATGAAAATAGAATATTAAAACAAACTTTGTGGCACTGATGAAACAGTATGATCAAAATTTACTTTTCAATCCATAAGTGACATTTCAATTATTGTCTACAACAGTTCCACATTAGTATTTAAACAATTGGATACACATAAAGGTATCCGTTAAATGTATTGCGTTTACAAACTAGGTGGCACTATTGTGAACTACATTTTTTCTGCCAAACAGTAAATATGTTTTGTATGTATCTAGTTTAAAAACTTAACGCAGAATATTGAACTTACTGAGCGTCAATTAGATTTTGTTCAGCAATGCTAACATTGTTCGCTAAGTTCATTCGAATCTCTTCAGATTTTCGCTTCACTGCATTGTAATGTATTTGTGTTTCGTTATACTTAGTATTCTTTTTTGCAAGTGTTTCTAATGCCTTACATAAAAAAGAAAATCCAGACCAATATTATTGATAGAATGTATGGGGGAAAAAATGAAAACACTGATTTAAGTCTCAAATATGTATTATTAAGTACTAATTTATTGATTTCAATGTTCTGAGACCCAATCGCTGGCGAATTCCTGTATAAGTACTGCTATAGAATCACATAATACCTATGAAATATCAGTTCAGTGTTCTGGACTATCAAACAGTCTTAATTTCATGCTTAAGGAAACGCTTTGGATCTTTTGTGTTTACAGTGCTTTTGAGTCTCTTTTCGTCTTGTTCTTCTTTCTTTAAGACTCGGATAAAGGAGGAGGGTTGGGCTTGGGTCTCATAAATAACTAACTCGCTAAAAAATGTCGACTAGAAAAATCAATTTAAACTATTTTAACTCTGCCCTGGGAGTTAGAAGGTCTTCTTTCAGAAGCGTTATGACGTCTCATGATGAAAGCCGAGTTCCTCCGGAATTGCGAGGCCAGTGCCGCTTCTCACAACCACAGCAACCATTATTTTAAGTAGATGGAACGTTTGTACATTGTGAGAGACCGGAGGACTACTCCAAGTCGCTGCAGAAATGAAAAGATACAACTTGAAGGTGCTTGAAATCAGTAAAACGAATTGGATGCAGGTGGGACAACTGAGATTAGCTTCAGGGGAACCGCTGTTATACTCTGGTCATGAAGAGGAAAATGCTTCACACCCAAGGAGTTGCACTGATTCTGTCCAAACATGCACAAAAGGCACTAATAGGATGGTAATCTCTTGGACCCAGGATCTTCAAAGGATCTTTGGAAACAAAGAAAGAGGACATTATAATGAACGTCATCCAATGGTATGCACCTACTATTGATTATAATCAAGATGTTAACGAACAATTCTACGAGAGGCTTTAGTCAATCGTCGAGAGATGCTCATCAAAGGATTTGACAATCCTGATGGGATGCCTGAATGTCAATCAACTGAATGGAACTCACCACTCTACACCAACTTCATTGACTACGATAAAGCATTCGATTGCGTGGACAGGACTACATTATGGGAGCCACCTTCGACACTACGGCGTCCCATCATAAGGAATTCCTACGATGGATTAAACTGCAACAGCTAACAGACTCTTTCTAGTTGAAGACCGATGTCAGACAAAGTTGCTTACTCTCACCCTTCCTCTTTCTTTTGGTGATCTACTGGATTACGAAGACATCTACATCTGGAGGGAAGCACAGTATCCGATGGAGAGCTAGGATGCAGCTGGATGATTTGGACTTCGCAGATAACCTTGCTCTCCTATCGCACACGCAACAACAAATGCAGGAGATGACGACCAGTGTAACTGCAGCCCCAACAACAGCACTTCTCAACATACATAAAGGGAAAAACAAGATTCTCCGATACAACATAACACGCATCAACCAAATCGCACTTGACAGAGAAGCATTGGAAGATTTGGCAGTATAACTGATGAGCGAGGTGGATCTGGTGTAGATTTGAAGGCATGGACCGACAAAGTAATGACAGCATTTCTACATCTGAATGACATCTGGAACTCAAAACAATTATGAACCAACACCAAAGTCAGAATACAAATGTCAAGACACTTCTACTATTTTGGGCTGAAACTTGGAAAACTACCAAAGCGACCATCCAGAAGATACAATTATTTATTAACAGTTGTCTACGCAACATACTACGGATCCGTTGGCCAGACACTATCAGCAACAATCTACTGTAGGAGAGAACAAACCAGATTCCAGTGGAGGAGGAAATCAAGAAGATGCGGTGGAAGTGGAGTAGACAGACATTGGGGAAAGCACCCAACTGCGTCACAAGACAAGCCTTCACTTGTAACCCTCAAGGTCAAAGGGAAAATGGAAGGCCAAGGAAAACATTACCCCGATAAACGGAGACATACATGAGAAGAATGAACAAAATTGGAAGGAACTGGAAAGGGAAAGACCGGCACAGAGTAGGTTGGAGAATAATGGATGGTGGCCTATGCTCCATTGGGAGCAACAGGCGTAATTGATCGATTGATTGATTGATTGTAAACACAATACACCAAACTTCGGTTAACACAGTAAGTAACTTACTTTAGTTGTTCGATCAATAATTTCTTTAAGTTCTACCTCAGTAATCAGAGATTTTTCGTTCACTAGATTTCTAAAATGAGAATATATTTACGATAAATACCACGACGTATGTGATAATTCTCAGGACGCTGTATTGTCAACGCTAAATAAAATGAACATAACTTAGGCGCCTGAACCTGTCCAAACTATGGATACAGGAGTGGTGGCCCTGATTTGAAGATTTTTAAATGTTTCCCAGTTAAGACTGTCTCCTAAATAATGTAGTCAGTTTATCAGTTATTAATCTCATACTTCGAATTCACTACTTATTATGTTTATGTTTTAGAAGACAAAAAATTGAATAGCAGTAAAGTGTATGTAACTCTTTTTCATTCCATCCCTTTGCTATTTAACTACTAATATTCGAAAATGAGTTCATTCATAGTTCAAGCCACTTAAAAATGCCATTGTATTTAGAGCTCTATATTAATTGATCAATTTGTTTTAAAAATACAGATTTTGATAATTCAAGTACACGTCAGAATGTTTTGACAATTTTGAAGTAATTTTCCAACTACTGAAAATTACAGTGTATAAATTTCGTATGTTTATAAAGATAACATCGAAAATAAAGCTTTGTAAATTGACCATTCCATTTAAGAAACATGACGTAGCATTTACTTGGTAAAAGTCTGATACTTTTTAATATTAGCACGTTTCTATAAATGTATAGTTAGACCTTCCCTGCTTTTGAGTGATATGGATCAACATTGATTTTCATTTGGTTATAATCAGTATTTAGTGATCGAAGTTTTTGAAAAATATCACTCATAACAGCTGATTTCGGTCTTATATTATCACTGGTTGATATTTGTTATGTATATGATCTATTGGATGCTATCTTAGTTGTCTGAAGATAAAATAGTACGGTCTAGATCCCCGAAGGATTAGTGAACCAACATTGATGAATGTTTTAAAACTGGAACGAAAAACACCACAGAATCTTCTGACTTAAAGTGGTTATTTAGCCTAATATAACACGTGATTCTGATGAAAAACTAGTTCTCTATATAAGTTCTTATCTAATGAGAACCGAATTCTTCAGAATGAAAAATAGATTGTTATGAAAATCTCTCGAATACATCTGCATAAACACTTATTTTGACAGAGATATCGATTCTGTGGACCATTATGAATAACATAATTATCTTTTTTTTATCACAGCACAAAGTTAGTTGAGATCACTCACATGTTCTCAAGTATGATATCGTATTGGGAGACAATGTCAAAAACACATAGATAATGCCTAAAAGTAATTCCTGTCTTTTATCGGGATTATTTTGGTAATCTTAATATGAAGCTATTTATCAGTGTTACAGTTTGTGTTTTTAGGACCTTTAATAGCTAAGTGTCTTAAGTGCATCTGCAAAGGATTAATGTTTATATATATATATATATATATATATATATATATATATATGAGTGCTTACGTGCATCCCGTTAGTTGTGAAATCTCATTTTCAATACTCTTTTTTGTTGCTGCTAACGATTTCAGTCTTCCAAAAACCTGATCATATTCTTCTTGAGTTTTCTTGATATTCCATTTTAAAGTCGATAGAGTATTAGAGGCTTGATCGTGCTCTACATAATAAGGAGAAAAGAGATTTGATTGAATTGTTAGGCCTCATAAACCATATTTGAACCAAATCACCAGTTATTATTGGTAAAACACTTTACAAACAGTAGTCAGTCTAATTACAGCTTAATAATAAGAGATTAATTAATTAATTACATTTAAATTTTTTCTGGAAAGGCATCCAAGCTATATATATATATAATACGCCCTAAGTTTATTAAACAATGCTCATTCGTTTGGTTCGCTGTTTACAGTCAGCAAATTCTTTTAATGAACACCATCTAACAATGATGGTTGATTTCCATCTTATTTTTTTTAGAGATTTATATTCAATTAATGCTACTTGATGTTATTTGTATAGGTTACGATAACTCTTAATCCACCTACTACACATCAGAATCAAAAATTACATAATTGTATATTTAAAAACAATTCAAATATATACTGATTGGTTTAAGTAGTTGTGTAAATTAACAAATAAATTCGACAAATAGTTAAAGTCGACATTATTGTACTGCTAATTTTTAAGCGCCTAACATTAGTTGATACGGCCATTAGGCTGAGTCTAGTACACAAAGGCCTTCAAACAGGAAAACTTTGTCTAGATTGTTAACCATAACGTCAGTTATCAGTGTGCAAATTAAAAACAACTATAAGTCTTTTTACATAATAGATTGCAATTACTTTCGTTTCTGGGAACATTAGTCAGATTTGTCGAACTGTAGATGTCAACAAAAAATACAACGAATTATTTTTAAAATTTTTGATAAATTAGAAAAAACAAATAATGCTTACTTATAGAACCACAGCAAACTGAGCTACAAGAATAGTGACAAGTTCTGAAATCAGTCACTACATTTTATAAACATCGGAACTGTCAGCATGAAGTGTTTGAATAGCAAAATTATAGAGTGGTTTTTTTCAACGATATGTTTCAAGTCTAATTATTTCTACATCTGTGTTAGACAGTTATTTTTCACTTATCATAGATCATTTTTTAGGCTTACGAAAAAAACAGTAAAAAATTTAATTATATTAAAAGTTAATTTCAATGAGTGGATAGTGGTTAACAATATATACGTAAAGCGTTGAATGATTTGTAAGCTATGTTTCAGCTTTGATTACGTTTAAAATTTTCCTTTCATAAAGAAAATTATCAAGAAGTTTATTATCAGGAAATTCTATAATTTTACTGATATGCTTGAGCTTAGGACGTTTTCCAAGGGATCTCACGTCTCCAACAGTTAGTTACCTAATGACTGGAATCTACTGTTCTGATCACCAGTATTTAATATTTTGTTTTTTAATTAAATAATAGTATGTTTTGTGTTTTCATATACCGGATAACTAACGTAATACATAGCTTACAGTTCCTGCGATTAATATAAACATAGAGAAGTCAAAGCCAACATTTAACTTTACAGTCTAACTCACTCACCAGCCAAAAATATTAGCATCAGGTAACAGTTCATCTATATGTATTCGTGATACATCAACATATAAAGATATCTCGTTCTGGAAAGACTAATTTTCTTGATAATTTAATTGATTTATCTCATAGTTGTTAAAGTTCAAATTAGCTCATATTTAAGGTTAAGTTGAGAATTTTATGGCCAAAACACCATTGCTGAATCTATTTCTTTATCGATTTTCAGACGATTACATTTTGAAATTATGAAATTTAGTTGCTTTTTAACGTGAAAATAACAATATTTTTTGATAACCTGCAGTATGCTTGTTTGAATAAACAATCAGGTTAAGGTAGATGACTGGCTGATTTCTGTGATAAGTGTAAGCTAAAGTTTCCATTGTTGTTGTACCTTTTACACTGGCCGACGTGGAGTCGACCTTTTAGTGATCAATATGCAACAATTGTGAAATTAATTTCTAGTTTACGCTTAAAAGACGGCCCAATACAAATTTGATGAACCAAAGAGGCAGGACGAAGACAAATGACCACTAGTTCAAGAATCGTTACCATGTTTCAGACGTTTGATTATATACATACTAGAACAGACAATATTGCACTAATTAATGGAAAATTACAATTACACACGAATAATTCGTAGGCGGCTGTGTTTAGGAGTAATTGTGAGCAATGCATTGTCAGCAAAACGGGAGTAGTAAATCATAAGATAGTTATTTATTGGTTAATAGGAAATGTGTGATAAAATGAATATACGCACCTGATATTAAAGTTGACTAGTAATTTTTTAATTGCAAACGGAGATCGGACTGCAGCAAAACATAATAATATCCCAATAGATGCAATTTTCATAGATCTAAGTAAAGCCTTCGACTAGGTCTCTCACCTTTGTTCTAAATTCAAACTAGGAAGTTTCGGAATCCACTATGAAATTAGAAACTGGATAAATGACATTTTCTGTAAGAGGAGACAACGGGTACGGGTAAGCAGGGCCTTATCAATATGGAAATTTGTAAAGAGTGGGGTTCCCTTGAGTGTAACCCCTGGTTCTCCTTTACGCTTTATCTAAATGATCTACCAGCTGTAGCGAAATTGCATGTTCCACACTTTGCCAGTGACATCAAGACTTTAAGATCTATCCACTGCTTCTCAGATAGGACAATATTATAGGATAACCGAAATTCACTGGTTGAATGGACATATATGATCTCTGGCAGTCAATCTTAGCAGAAGCGTGTTTAGACATATATATGATTGCGACGATTCATGCAGATGCATCGTAAGTTAAGTGGTATTGCCTAGAGTAGTAGTAAATAACGATCTAGGAGACAAAGTAACCACAGAATTTGAAACTACAGGCAACTTTAAGGCTGCCACTGCTAAATGCTTCAGGGTCTTACAAGCTACTTGTAAGTCATTTCATTACTTGAATCAAGAAGTGTTCAGGGTATTATACTTGAAGTTTGTGAGGCTGCATTTGGAATACGAAATTCAAGCAACCAATCCTTGTTTCAAGTATAAAGGCGTTACTATCGGACAGATTTAACCGTAAATGAACCAAAACAGTTTAAGGTCTCACTGACCTTTCTTACGAAGACATAATGAGACACTTCAATCTATTTCCGTTATCTTACCGCGGGTTGTGGACATAATGAATACTGGTTTGTCGAATACTGTACGATGCTTTTGGAGTTAATATATCTTAATTTTTTCCCCAGAGCAGGAATAATCATATAGAAGGACAATATGAGAAAGTTTAAAAGCCAAGATTAAATTACATACGTCTAGAGTTCCATGAATAACCAGTGTTCTCTACCAGAGCAAGTATTATCAGCACATTCCGTTGACGAATTCAAGGCTAAATTGGATCTATACAGCACTGTAAATTACTACGATTGGTGCTGGTGAATTGACCTCTCATCCTGGTCTCTGAAGTGTGATAATAATATTTTACACACTGATATAACTCTTTATTTATAGATGTACTAATATATGGAGTCCATAGAATGGAGTAACTCAAATTCCGGATGACTAAATTGGTTCATATTTGCCTATTGCCTGAAAATAAGTTACAACTTTAAATTGAATATACGTTAAAAAGGTACTCAGAGAACAAATATTTCTTGCCTTTATGTTTGTCAAATAATAGTATGTAGATATTAGACTCGAAGTTGCCTATTCTTAGTGATACAACTTTTCATAGGTTCTTAATTTTTTACCACATACAGTCTGAAGGCAGTAGGTCAAAATATTTTTGGTTGCAATGTCCGAGCAAACTAAAAGGAGAAAATGAAGGCGAACCTTGGGATAAAATCCCCAGGTAACCTAGGACTGAATATGATCGACAGTGCATCAAATGGTCACCATCTTCTCCAGCACCGGATAAATAATGAGGCTTTCCCATAAAATCTCCCTTTTTAGGTGGGAATGGCCTAAAATAACTTATGCCTGTCATTTTCACCAAAATTGACACTAAATTGCTATTCTTCTTCTTGAAGGACGCTTACAATAGTGGACTCTACAATAATTCTGAGATAAAATCAAGACTGTACGTTAAATGAGTTGGATTTACTAACAAAAGTCACTTTTTGACTCGTTTTTATTATAAAATACTACTCATTCGTTAAAAAATACTATTTTTTGATATATGTATTACAAAGTTACACAGAAAATCAAAAACAGATAATTCGGTGTATCGCTCAAACAGCACATGAGGGGAAACGAAGTCTGAGAACAGTAAAAAATTTTCGCGAAAGTCGATAAAATTATTACCTTTCTGAACTACAAAAGGAATTTCACTCAGGCAGAATCGACCTATTCTGTCGAACTGATTTACAAGTGCATACACCGTTCTCCGGGTTTCATGTATTTTATTTTTACTTTGAATCAAATCTGATTCAATATCTTCAAAAACACTGATTACATTTTCAAATTTCTTCTTAAAATATCCGTGTCAGATATGATTTACTTGTAAAAATGATTTAAATTCTGACGTATCAAATTTGTTTGTCTTTTTCACGACATCTCCAACAGTTTCGTTTTCTAGATAGTTTACTAGTTTCACCAGCGATTCCTGAGATGAAGGATTAGTAGGAACTAAGTAACAAACTTCGCCAATGACCAAGTGGCGTATTGGATTTTTCAATGCGCTGACCATCACAGTTTAAATTAGTACTTAAATCTCGCTATGACACTCGAGGTTATCCAATATCCAATACATTCAATGTCTTTTTCATGACCTAGTATAAACCAATTGATTTCTTTGCGCTCGAGTCTTTTTCTTTCGGTACGATTCCAGGTATTTTAAAGTACCCAATGAATACGTGTTCAGCCACTCGACCTTCTAATTTTAGTCAGTTGTCAGTTGTTTGTGAGTTTGTATGTCCCGTGATCGGAATGAAAACGTTTATATCGGGGCAGTAGGGTTTCTTGGTATAAGAAGATACCACATCACCACACCGGAGATCATTTAGTCAAAGTGAACAGTCACATTTGCCTTGTCTGTGTCCCCTATATAGTTCGGACTCGTGTGGAGGTTTCAAGGGTTATTAAACCAAGATCTAGCTGTGAGGAGTCATTAGGGAGCGGACTTTTATTGAGGATGTAAATCATTTGCATCATGTGGGGCAGAATGTACATGACGTGACACTTCGGTTGGTTGAGTTTTAAACCATTTATCTTTGCCAATACATCAGTAAATGTAAGGTCCTTTTGGAGGTCAATCGAATCCTATTCACTCCCAATGAACCTCTAGCTCTTCATATTGTCTGCGTAGATCAATGCCGGTGACCTAACTGAGCTAAAAACTCGTTAATAAATATCAGGAAGAGAAGTGGTCCCAAGATGGTCCCCTGTGCAACTCCCGGTGAAGATACTCACCAGCTCGCGTGAACTCGATTCAACATAGTACGAAACTTTCTATTCTCAAGGTATTTTCTTAGCCGAGATAGGACTGGGTAAGTGAAGACCATTTCCACAACCTTTGCGACCAGGCCTGTGTGGGGTACTGTGTCGAAGGTTTTTACATAGTCGAGAATTATTACGTGCGCCGGTATTTTTCATTCCTGACAGGATGTCCAACTGTCCCATGCTATGAGAAGATTGGATGCACATGACCTGTCTTTCCGAAACTCGTGTTGAGCTTCATGGAGTATTTTATTCTTACCCATATACTCATTCATTTGTTCGTCCAACAGCCCCTCCATTACCTTTAATAATATTGGTAGTAATTCGACTGGTCTGTAACAGGCTGGGTAATGCCTATTTCCTCCTTTGAAGGTTGGAAAGAGAGTAACTTGTTTCCATTCGGCTGAGAGTTGGTGTGACACCAGCGAATGCCTAAAACTAGGCAACATGTCAGTGAACAGAGTGCTTCTACAAAATGCCTCAAGACTATGGGGCGAATAGTGTCATAACCTGGTGACTTAACTGGACGTAAGGATTTCACTTTCCTAAGTACTAAGTCACAACACAGACAAATTTAGTATTAGTTTTATCGTTCAAAATTAGGAAGCTTTTGTTAGTCGTAGTGATATCAGTTTCACAGTTATTCCAGCCTTCCATTGAATTAGAATTCAATTACGTGTTGAGATAATTTAATCCTCTTATGACTCAGTTGTTAACTTTTTTAGAACGCTATCGTAAATTCCCTGTTTTGGAAGACAAGGACATTGAGGGATGGTCAAATACAGATTTGTGAATAATCTGAAAACTGTAATAAGGTTACTCCTTGCACTAGTTGTACTTATTGGGGCCTTTTTCTATAGCTAGTACCATTTACCAAGCAAAAGCTGGCTGACTGTATGCGATATTTGAGGTTATGATGAATTAAGACTGTTAAAATCTACAAATGTCTTAGCGTCCACATAGATAGCTCTATGTTTTGAATATAGAGTTTCAAAACCTTTAACAGCCACTGCACAGTAGTATTTTTCAAGCCTTGGATAATGATGGCAAACCGGTCATTGTTCGTCTAGATAACAAATAGCTCAGTGCAATTCACAGCGTAATTGTCTGCACCTTGGTGACTAATCATATTATGATGCACGTGAAAGCGTTTGTCAGCAACTCCAAATCACTACACTCGAATAGGAGCCGGTTGTGAGGAGCCTTGATGAAAGCCACGTACAAATAAGTCAGAGTTACATCTTTAGGTGGCTTTTGATCTTTGAGAGAGAAACAACTTTCACGGGCTGCTGACAGGTCTTTGAAACATGAATAACCTGTCCTAAAGTTTAGCTGCTTCTCAGAAAGAATCGAGTTTGCGATTGGCTGCCCTGACATCTGTTAATGCATTATCTTTTCTAGAGTTCTCGAAACTTCAGTAGGTTGGGTTATAGACCAAGTCTATTTCTCGTACCTGTTTTAAAGATTAGACTTGCTGCGGGAATCTTAAGGTCTATCCGTCACCTACCTCGGCTTCTAGATAAATAGACATACCTTTCAGGGACTTGCGATGAAAATCTCCATTTCCTTAATCTATCTTTGTTGTACAATATTGGGTTTTTACAGAATTTGGTTAATTTAACAGAATGAGCACGTCGCGTTCCTTAGTCGCCATGGTATCCAGAGTATGTATGTAGGGGTTTGTAAACACTGCATGAAGATTCGCCTTAATGGTATATACGTCATCAAAGTAGTACAAGCTTTTCTATTATCATCCCGGGTTGATATCACTGACTGCATATCGACTACGGCTTAGATGACGTCAGCATAATTAGGCCTATCTCAATCGCGCCTGTAAGCGTTGCTTACTATTTCAATGGATTTGCGTTACAATCTCTGTGCGAGCGGAATTTCTGGCAGGTTCATATGCGTCAGACCGTTCGAAGGTCTCAGGTGGTAGGTCCGCACAAAATCCATGATACTATAAGTTGCACTCATCTCGGTGCATTTAAATAATTCTCTAGTTTGCATCGAGCATATGATATATAACACGTTCCTGCAGAGAACATTGCTGGATATTGTCCTGATCCCAGCTGCTTAACGAAACATTATAAGAAGTGCATTCAAATACAGTGGGCTTACAACAGTATGTTTTTAAAGGTTCATTTGACAAATGTCATAAATACACAGAATAGATTTTCTACTGTGGTTCGAACATTAACAACTATGTATCGACGCCATTGGCCAAGAATGTATCGTTGGGGATCAACCATGACAGGTATGTAGTGGTTTCAATTTTACGAAGAAAAACACGACTGGTTAAATAGCAACACTGATTAATGTAATCAACTTTACCAGTGAAGGTATTATCGAATATTAGTTCATTCGTACTTTTGTTTTATGTAATGGCCTTTGTTATTTATGTATGTATACGAATTCGTAGTCCCGCGAAATAAACATATATAAATGATGGGCCTGTTTCTAGACGAAAGTCAATTTCTGGTGAGTTTGCAAAAATCGCTCCCATTTTGTTGCTTTATATATATTTATCTGTTGCTTTTTATATATAATCTTAGCAACAACGTTTCGAAATGTCGGACTGCAATAAAACTGCCTGCGACACAATGGATTTCGAGGTTCGGGTTGTCTTTTTTCAACCTTCTCTTATAACCCGTGATGCAAAAGCGTGGTTAGCAGCTTTAGAAACTCAATTTGAGTTCTAACGCATCGCAAGCAGGAGTCAAAAATACGCTTACACTTTAGAGTCACTACCTGGGGACAAAATGGCTGCATTACGCTGGGTAGTTCTCAGTCCCGATAGACCCGATATCTTGAATCGTCTCAAAGAGGGGATTCTCATTTTTTCCTTCTATCACGGGAAAAATGATTGATAAACTTATTAGCACGTCACTCTCTGAGTGACGCTAAACCTGTCCACCAGATCGCGTGCCTCTAGACATCAGCTGGACTTGCAACAGTGATTTCAAACGTAATCAGAGAACTGTGGGGAGAGGCAATTTTTGTGCACCTGCAGCCTGAAATTACAGCATTGTTCGAAAACACCTCTCATCAAGGTTTCATCCATAGCTGACAACTTTATTGCACATTTCGAGACCGTATCGAGGTCTTGGCACCAATTGTCCATTGAGCCCGTTCGCAATCATGCCTGGCTATAGCTCCAGTTCACCCTAATTCCACTGCCCTCATACCTATAAAAAGACACGAGACCAAATTGTTCACAATCAAACTGACCAATAAACACAACTTTAGTAGTGTCTTGGACAAGTGAGGCTAAGCTTACACTCTTCAAAATGTGTATAAGGCCCTCACTTGAATACTGCTCTTATCTTTTCCAACATTAATAACATGGACAATATACGAGTAGAAAATGCTGAAAGAAGCTTAACCCGGAGACTGCTGGGATGGAGCTATAACCTCCACTACACAGAAAGATGCAAACATCTTTCCCTAGAGACTCTAAGGCTACGTCGGTTGAAAAACAACCTAATACTTCTCTACAGACTGATAAATGGTCTCTCGTTCGCAAAATACAGCCCAATTATGAACCACAACACTGCTTACAGGCTTAGAAACAACACATATACACTATTAATGACAAAATACAAAACGTTATTGCTTTGTAATTTCTTTATAATACGATACAGTCTATGATGGATCAGGTTACCAATTAATATTCGTATTTGTGACAATTACTAAGTTCAAGAAACTAGTAGTGCTGTTTTTAGACTCTAAAGAGATTTATTGTCTATTCCCAGAACTCACACGAAGTCCCAAGACACTCTTTTCTGGTCCACCAAACATTTGAATAAACTTCAGAAACTAATTACAGACTATAAACACATTGTGCCCGCATTACCATCCACACAGGTAACTAGAAATGAAAGATGAATTGCCCTGGCCTACTAACAGTCATATGTTAATCCTTTGAGGTGCTACCCGTGACATTTGAACTTTTCTCTAACTTTAAACTTCAATCATTATTTTCATATCTTCACAGCAGATTTAGTTTTTATTTTTGGTAGACAGGTAAACTGAAAAGCCTGCAGATGCCAATCACCTACTGTCGATTAGAAGGAACTCAAACTTTTTAAGGTTCTTGTTTAATTATTAACAGTGATAAACTTTTATTTTCCAAATTTATCCCTTTACTCACTAATATTTAACACTATTTCAAAACAATTTTTCCAGCTCCCTATCCTTCCTATCTAAATTAAACTCAGTGTGATATGCTACGTGGATATTTTGTCCAAC